GAATAACCCCAGAGATAGCTTTGCTACCTCAAGTCTTTATGGAGGGGGATTTTCCTTCCAAACACTAACTCCTCCCTCTTTCCTCCTCCCTGTCTTCCAGAAGCCAGCATTAGCCTTCGATAAAGGTATGTAAAACTTACATAATTGTTAAAAAAATTATATTTTTTTTTGTGAATATTTTCGTCTGGAACGGATTAATTGTATTAACATTAATTCTTATGGGAAATATTAATTCGGTTTTCGGCCATTTCGGTTATCGGCTGACCTTCTGGAACGGATTACCGCCGATAACCAAGGGTCCACTGTACAGTGAACTTTCTAATTAATGGACTAGCAGTGGGGAATGGGAGTGTATGCTATTGCTGATTGTCTGTTGTTTCCAAATTATGAAATACATTTTTCATAATAGTTGGTTCTGGAGACACTACTGGACATACAGTACATAGTAATCTGTAAAATAGTACAGTGAAGGTGTGAGAAAGGGAATGCGAGAATGGAGGTAGGTAGGTGTGTGTGTGTGTGTGTGTGTGTGTGTGTGTAATGGTGGTTGGGTTTGAGAGGGTGAGTTTCAGAAAGTTTGGTGGGCATGTTGGTAGGGGATATGAGAAGACAGGTGGGTGAGGGTGTAAATGTGGGTGGGTAAGAGAGAGAGGGGTTGGGTGTGAGGGTGGTATGAGAGAGTGAGTACAAGAGAGGACATAAGGGTGTGTGGATAGGTGAGAGATTGGTATGAGAGATGGTTGGGTAGGTGGGTGCTTGTTAGAGGCTGGGTTTAAGATGGTTGGTGTGAGAGGTGGGTATGAGTGTATGTTTGTGTGAGGGTGGGTGGGGTAGGTGGGCAAATGTAAGAGGGAGAGTGGGTACATTTGTGAATACAACTGAATGAAGGTGTTGTGGAGAAGAACATCTCCTAGGCTCCTACACTGATCCACCTCTCTGCCTTTCCAGCATCATCACTCCACCTCACCTTCCTGGCTTCCAACCACTAACACAATGTAAATACTAATGGAATCTATAGTATAAATTTTCGACCCTCTCTACAAAAAAGAAAAAACTCTTTATATATATGCAGGGAGGGAGGGAGGCAGTGAATCGGTGGGTGGAGGCAGTGAGGGATGAAGAGGCAATGAGGAATGCAGTGAAGGCACACAACCATTAGTGCCTCCCTCCTTGGTTCTCAGTCAATACCTCCTCCCTTTCTTTTCCGCTCAGCTGGGGCTGGGGCCTCTCTCATTGGGTCGGTGGCTGGCCACCCTTCATACACCTGACATAAACTCACAACTAATACAATGTAAATAGTAAGTCTTCAATCTTTACCAAACAAATGTAAGCTCTATATGCATGCATACAGAGTACATACAGAAAGTATAAGTGCATTGGATAAAAAATTAAGATGAAATATGGACAATATCTAGAATTATTGACTTTTTTATTTTCCATTTTATGTGATACTTCCAAGGTTTATCGGGCCCATTTTTTTTTGGTCCAAAATTACCAAAATACATTCACGAGAGGTCCATTAATGAGGGGTTTTACCATGCAGTATTTGAAAATACCAATATGCCAGCAGAACAGATAACTTTAACAGTGCTTGTATAATGTACCAAATTTCCCACAACTAATTGATGAATTGAAATAGTGCATTACTAATTGATTGATTTCATCAATAAAGGCTTCTAATAACTGTAACTGAATCCCTTTACCAGTAAATAAATAACAAAAAGGCACAATACCGTGACTGGAACGATACACAAATAACCCGCACATAAAAGACAGAAGCTTACGACGACGTTTCGGTCCGACTTGGACCATTGACAAAGTCACACTAACAGAGGAGGAGCAGGGCGGCTATATATAGGCAGGAAGAGGTGGAGGTAGTAGTAGTGGTAGTAGTAGTGGTGGTAGTAGTACAAGAATTGTATATAATACCGACAGGATGAAATGACACATGCACAACACCCGGGCATCCCCACCGTAGACGTTTCGCCATCCAGCCAGCCACTGGATGGCGAAACGTCCACAACAAAGACAACCAGACGCCGCACATGTGTCTAATTTCATCAGTAGATGTAGTAGAAGAAGAAGAGGTAGTAGTAGTGGTAGTGGTAGAAGTGGGAAATAAGGAAGACGAGCCAGTCAAATACAAAGGAAGGGGAGCACTGCAAGAGAGCTAGAAACCCACAGAGGGAGAGCAAGCGCACCGAGGTGCGTGAAAGGGGAAGTGGTGAAATAAAATAAAGAAGGAACAGAAACACGAGACAGGAGAGAGAAAGACAACCCAGAGGAGAAAAGGAGAGAGGAAAGGGGAAGAGGAAGAAGAAAAAGAAGAAGAAGAAGAAAAAATGAGGATTCAGGTTAAGTCACGGGTGTTCTGAAGTTTGGAGCATTTTACAATGTAGTGGGAGAGGAAGGCATCTACAGAGACGAAGCCAGGGCTAAGGTTCATACAAGGAAAGTTGTGTATAAGAGAGGATTCAACTAAACGGCGACTGTTCGAGTTGGAAGTAGGGAAGACAGTTTTAGCAGAAGACCAGTCAATAGGATGGCTATGATCTCTGACGTGACAGAAAAGAGCATTGTTAGTGTCGGCAAGCCTAACACTATTTTTGTGCTCCCTAAGTCTGTCAGAAAGAGATCGACCTGTGACTTAACCTGAATCCTCATTTTTTCTTCTTCTTCTTCTTTTTCTTCTTCCTCTTCCCCTTTCCTCTCTCCTTTTCTCCTCTGGGTTGTCTTTCTCTCTCCTGTCTCGTGTTTCTGTTCCTTCTTTATTTTATTTCACCACTTCCCCTTTCACGCACCTCGGTGCGCTTGCTCTCCCTCTGTGGGTTTCTAGGTCTCTTGCAGTGCTCCCCTTCCTTTGTATTTGACTGGCTCGTCTTCCTTATTTCCCACTTCTACCACTACCACTACTACTACCTCTTCTTCTTCTACTACATCTACTGATGAAATTAGACACATGTGCGGCGTCTGGTTGTCTTTGTTGTGGACGTTTCGCCATCCAGTGGCTGGCTGGATGGCGAAACGTCTACGGTGGGGATGCCCGGGTGTTGTGCATGTGTCATTTCATCCTGTCGGTATTATATACAATTCTTGTACTACTACCACCACTACTACTACCACTACTACTACCTCCACCTCTTCCTGCCTATATATAGCCGTCCTGCTCCTCCTCTGTTAGTGTGACTTTGTCAATGGTCCAAGTCGGACCGAAACGTCGTCGTAAGCTTCTGTCTTTTATGTGCGGGTTATTTGTGTACCCTTTACCAGTGTGTCAATATCTCATATCATTACTGACCTAAGCTATATTAATGCAGTACAGTATTATTTTTGTGGTATTCTCCCTTTGCAACAATGAATATTTTGATCTTGCACTAAAAGCACAAAAATAAGGAAATGACCTTGTTCTCTGGTAGTAAATATTTATTATTACAGTACTTGTATTTACTAGCAGGAGTTTGGAAGAACATCAGGAACATCCCCATATGTTGGCTCCAGTGACCCTGAATGGAAATTTATCAATGAATATGACCCAATATGGCCCAATGATTATGAGAAAGTGGTGAAAGGTAAAGTGAAATAAATTTAATTTTGTTCTGCACACAGTGTAGAAATTTATTTTGCTGTCTTTATTATTGGGTATATTAATTGAAATTTCACTTAACTGGAAAATTTGTGAATGAGACCAGTGCTTATTTATTTCAGAAATGAGAGAGAAGAGAGACCGAGAAGAAGAAGAAACAAGAATAAAGGAAAGAGAAGAAAGGGAAAGAAAAAGAAGGGACAGGTAAGTTAAAGTTTAGTAATCGTAGCAACAAGAAAATGAATTTTACATTCTAGGTTGTCAGAGTAAGATTACCCAGTTACAGTGGACCCCCGGTTAACGATTTAATCCTGCAAGAGGGCTCATCGTTATGCGAAATAATCGTTATGCGAATTAATTTTCCCATAAGAAATAATGGAATAAAATTATCCGTGCAAGACGCCCAAAAGTTATGAAAAAAATTTTTTTTACACATGAAATGTTATTTTAATACCACGTACTGAAAAAGGATGCCACAATTACATGACACTTACTTTTATTGAAGATCTGGTGATGATTGATGAGTGAGGAGGGAGAGCATTATCTTTACTTACTCGTGAGAAAGGGGAATCCCCTTCCATTAGACTTAGGTAGCAAGCCTTTCTGGGGTTCCCATTCTTCATTTTAAATGCCACTAGGTATACAGCTTCAAGTCACATGGAACCTCTGTCTGCACACAAATCGTCCATAGAGCTCTGTACCTCCCGTTTTCTTCAAGACTTTCCTAAAATGGGCCATAACATTGTCCATTGAAATAGTCACAAAGCAACGGCTTGCAACAGCTGTGTCAGGGTGATTTTCATCTATAAAGGTTTGCAGTTCAAACCACTCTGCACACATTTCCTTAATCTTTGAAGTAGGCACAATGGATTCCACACTGGCATAGGCTTCTCAGGGTTAGCCCCAAACCCTTCAAAATCTTTCTTAATTTCCATACTAATTCTCCACCCTTTTTACCACAGGGTTGGCACTAGAAGCTTTCTTGGGGCCCATGGTCACTTATTTTCCAGAAACACCACCGAAAACACTGTAATAATACGAAATATTCCGAGTGTATGCTTGGATGTTACCGCGGAGGCTGGCTGGTAAACAATGGGACGGCCGGCACATGTGAGGGCACATTGGACGCGTCTCGGACGAAAATCGGTATGCGGGTTTTTAATCGGTATGCGGGGCAAAAATTTTGCGATAAAAGTAATCGTTATGCGGAAAAATCGCTATGCGATGCCATCGTTATGCGGGGGTCCACTGTATTTATAACCTGATGAAAATAATTATACAGGGAAAACAATGTTTTACTCTATGTATAAATCTCACTAATATGTACAGTGTTGATAACATTGTTGGGTTTAATAGTTTACATTTGTATTACATGAGCAAACCTCAGAGAGTTGGGCTCTACACTGGGGATGCCCTGGTGCTGATGAAGGGTTCTTCATCCAAAGAATTGAAACTGCCCTCCCTTTCTTTCGATCAAACCTGTGTGCCTCCAGTTTATCAGACTGTGTATGACCCTGATGCGTTAGCACATCCCCGTGAATATAAAATACAGTATAAATAATAATGAAAATCATTTTTTTAACACTAGCCATCTCCCATTGAGGTAAGTAGGAGATGGCCAGTGTTTTACTAAATGTAAAAAGAATGACTTCTGTTTTTCTTTTTGGGTCACCCTGCTTTGGTGGGATATGGCCGGTTTGTTAAGAAAAAAGAAAAAACTTTGTAAGTTCATTTGTCACACAACTGCCCTTTGCCAGTAGTTTGCCCCAGCCTTGTGGTGCTTTATAACCCATATGGCTTAGCTGCATCTTGTGAACAATATAATAACAATAATTTTTTTTTAACACATTGGTCATTTCCCACAGAGGCAGGGTGACCCAGAAAGAAAGAAAAACCCAAAAAGAAAGAAAAAACTTCCATCATCATTCAGCACTTTCACCATCATTCATATATAATCACTGTCTTTGCAGAGGCACTCAAATACGACAGTTTAGATGTTCCTCCAAACAGTCAATATCCCAAACCCCTCCTTTAACCCCTTTGAGGGTCCGTCCCATAGTTTTATGGCTTTGAAGCCAGGGTCCAAGCCATAGTACTACGTTGTGAGCTCAGCTCACTCAGATAAGATGTGAGCGGTAAATTTGGGCCTAGATATGAGAGAACACATCTGTGTGGTAAGTGTGCATCATATAAAACAAATCCTCATTGTCATTATGCAGCACGCAGTGCATAATGGCAATTACGGTTGTAATTGTGGTTTCTTGGTCTCATTTGTTGGAAAGGAAGATTTTTTTTTTTTTTTTTTTTTTTTCAACAAGTCGGCCGTCTCCCACCGAGGCAGGGTGACCCAAAAAAAAAGAAAGAAAATCCCCAAAAAAGAAAATACTTTCATCATCATTCAACACTTTCACCACACTCACACATTATCACTGCTTTTGCAGAGGTGCTCAGAATACAACAGTTTAGAAGCATATACGTATAGAGATACACAACATATCCCTCCAAACTGCCAATATCCCAAACCCCTCCTTTAAAGTGCAGGCATTGTACTTCCCATTTCCAGGACTCAAGTCCGACTATATGAAAATAACCGGTTTCCCTGAATCCCTTCACTAAATATTACCCTGCTCACACTCCAACAGATCGTCAGGTCCCAAGTATCATTCGTCTCCATTCACTCCTATCTAACACGCTCATGCACGCTTGCTGGAAGTCCAAGCCCCTCACCCACAAAACCTCCTTTACCCCCTCTTTCCAACCCTTTCGAGGACGACCCCTACCCCTCTTTCCTTCCCCTATAGATTTATATGCTTTCCATGTCATTCTACTTTGATCCATTCTCTCTAAATGACCAAACCACCTCAACAACCCCTCTTCTGCCCTCTGACTAATGCTTTTATTAACTCCACACCTTCTCCTAATTTCCACACTCCGAATTTTCTGCATATATTTTACACCACACATTGCCCTTAGACAGGACATCTCCACTGCCTCCAACCGTCTCCTCGCTGCTGCATTTACCACCCAAGCTTCACATCCATATAAGAGTGTTGGTACTACTATACTTTCATACATTCCCTTCTTTGCCTCCATAGATAACGTTTTTTGACTCCACATATACCTCAACGCACCACTCACCTTTTTTCCCTCATCAATTCTATGATTAACCTCATCCTTCATAAATCCATCCGCCGACACGTCAACTCCCAAGTATCTGAAAACATTCACTTCTTCCATACTCCTCCTCCCCAATTTGATATCCAATTTTTCTTTATCTAAATCATTTGATACCCTCATCACCTTACTCTTTTCTATGTTCACTTTCAACTTTCTACCTTTACACACATTCTCAAACTCATCCACTAACTTTTGTAATTTTTCTTTAGAATCTCCCATAAGCACAGTATCATCAGCAAAAAGTAACTGTGTCAATTCCCATTTTGAATTTGATTCCCCATAATTTAATCCCACCCCTCTCCCGAACACCCTAGCATTTACTTCTTTTACAACCCCATCTATAAATATATTAAACAACCATGGTGACATTACACATCCCTGTCTAAGACCTACTTTTACCGGGAAGTATTCTCCCTCTCTTCTACACACCCTAACCTGAGCCTCACTATCCTCATAAAAGCTCTTTACAGCATTTAGTAACTTACCACCTATTCCATATACTTGCAACATCTGCCACATTGCTCCTCTATCCACTCTATCATATGCCTTTTCTAAATCCATAAATGCAATAAAAACTTCCCTACCTTTATCTAAATACTGTTCACATATATGTTTCAATGTAAACACTTGATCTACACATCCCCTACCCACTCTGAAGCCTCCTTGCTCGTCCGCAATTCTACATTCTGTCTTACCTCTAATTCTTTCAATTATAACCCTACCGTATACTTTTCCTGGTATACTCAGTAAACTTATTCCTCTATAATTTTTACAATCTCTTTTGTCCCCTTTCCCTTTATATAAAGGGACTATACATGCTCTCCGCCAATCCCTAGGTACCTTCCCCTCTTTCATACATTTATTAAACAAAAGTACCAACCACTCCAACACTATATCCCCCCCCCCCCCTGCTTTTAACATTTCTGTCATGATCCCATCAGTTCCAGCTGCTTTACCCCCTTTCATTCTACGTAATGCCTCACGTACCTCCACCACACTTACATTCTGCTCTTCTTCACTCCTAAAAGATGGTATACCTCCCTGGCCAGTGCATGAAAAGAAGATATATATGAAAGGAAGATATATTACAGAAATAGGGATGATTTTGATGGGTTTTAGTACTGAAAATAGCTTGAAATTGAGCACAGAGTAGCAGAAATGTTAGATTTTTACTGATGTTCAAGAGTAAACAAATCACATCATGTATCCAATACATGTCAGCTGGTGGGTCTAATGGGCATTCACGAATGTGTTGACATTATTTATACAGTTATTACAATATTGCATAACAGCAAATCTTCTATTTTTTGGTGTGAATATAAATTCTTTTTCTGAATAAAAATCAAAATGAAATTCATGTGTAAAGCCTGGAAATGTAACTAACTAACAGAGGAAATGTTATTTTAGTGCCAGGAATGCTTGAATTGTTTATTCTTGACCCTATTTTGAAATTGGAATATTTTGAACTTTGTGTGAAATTGGCCAAATTACCAATTTCTGATCACTTAATTGGATAGTTGAAATAGTTGATTGGGCAATTTCTTGTGCTCAGTAGATAAAATGGAACACATACTAGTGAAATAGCTAAGAATTGGGCAACTGGAACAATGTAATTGGCTGAAAATCGGACTCAAATTGGGCAAAATTGCCGATGTGTAAATACAGTGGACCCCCGGTTTACGATATCATTTCATTCCAGAAGTATGTTCAGGTGCCAGTACTGACCGAATTTGTTCCCATAAGGAATGTTGTGAATTAGATTAGTCTATTTCAGACCCCCAAACATACACATACAAACGCACTTTCATAAATACACTTACATAATTGGTCGCATTGGGAGCTGATTGTAAACCAGGGGTCCACTGTATTTGCTGACACAGCAAAATTCAGGAGAGCATAATTTCGTCAGTTTTTGATCAAATTTCATGCTTTTTTGTTTTATTACCTTCAGAAAAAAATTATCTACCATTTCAAAAGATTTTTTTTTTTTTTTTTTTTTTAAATTCTTGGACCCTCTGGGGAATTTT